AACCGGCCTCAAGAGTGACCCCGAATAGCTGTGTAGAGCGTGAATACCAAAACGTGCCAATAAGAGGCGCGCCGTAAACACACGTCGGTCCTTACGTCACAGGACAGTCTCCTGACTCTTCCTCTCCCTCGGTATCGGCGGGAGATTGGTTCCAGGGCCCCCGCAGGTACTGAAATCCACGGATGCCCAAGGCCCTCACATCACATGGCCGAGGACAGTGCCTCCAGGTGGGCCTCTGCACCAGATTCCCAACCACAGATACATATGCTGTATGTTTATTGGGGAAAAAAATCCACGTATAAGTGGACCCCATGCTGCAAACCTGTGTGGTTCAAAGGTCAACTGCACTGCGAGCCGAGCTCACAGTAAACCCAGTGCACCTGTGGACCAGCCAAGAAGTAACTGCTTTTCAGTGGGAGGGGTGGGGGGGACGGGGACGGACGGACGGACGGACGGACGGACGGCCACACTCTCCCCATGACTGTCCTGCTGGTGTCAGCTGTCCCAGCTTTTCTCCTGGGCTGGGGCCTCCCGGACGGCTGTGCGGCACTGCCCCCTGTGGCAGGCAGGGTCACTGCAGGGCCATGTTGGGGGGAACGGAAGCCTGAGCCCTGGTCCTTGTCTTGCCCCTCAGATCTACCGCAGGTGCTGGCTGGTGTTCCGGAAGTCCTCCAGCAAGGGGCCCCAGCGGCTGGAGAAGTACCCGGATGAGAAGTCCGTGTGCCTCCGAGGCTGCCCCAAGGTGAGGGGCTGGGCCCTAGCGCCCCTAACCTGTAAGCAGTGGGTCCAAGAGCACCCTCCTCGGGGTGGCGGAACGGTGGGGGCTGCGGAGAGAGGGGCTCCAATCTGCTGAGTCCTTTGTGGATGCTGCTCCAGGTGACCGAGATCAGTAACGTCAAGTGCGTCACACGGCTCCCCAAGGAGACCAAGAGGCAGGCGGTGGCCATCATCTTCACCGACGACTCGGCCCGTACCTTCACCTGCGACTCAGGTGAGGCGCTGGGGCTGCAGACCTCGCTCCAGCCTCCACTGGGCCGGCCGTGCGTCAGTGGACCAGTTGGAGAAGGCAGAGCAGGGCTGGCTCTGGCTGGTATGAGGATTGGGGTGCCTTTGAGTGAGCAGGCCCCCAGGATGAGGGGGAGACAGGCCAAATTCACTGGCCTTGCCTCCCTGCCTCAGAGGGAGGGCTAACTCAGGCCGAGTAGATGGGGTGGGCTCCGGGGACCCTGAGCCTGCAGCTCACAAGGTACCATTTCTCCAGAGCTGGAGGCGGAGGAGTGGTACAAGACCCTGTCTGTGGAGTGTCTGGGGTCGCGGCTCAACGACATCAGTCTGGGAGAGCCGGACCTCCTGGCCCCAGGGGTGCAGTGTGAACAGACAGGTGAGGCCTGGTGGTGGGGAGGAGGGGGCAGGAGACCCACCCCCCGGGAAGCCCCGGCCCATTCATCCTCTCCCTCCAGATCGCTTCAACGTCTTCCTGTTACCCTGCCCCAACCTGGATGTGTATGGCGAGTGCAAGCTGCAGATCACCCACGAGAACATCTACCTCTGGGACATACACAACCCCCGCGTGAAGCTCGTCTCGTGGCCCCTCTGCTCACTGCGCCGCTATGGCCGGGACACCACACGCTTTACCTTCGAGGCTGGCCGGTAGGAACCTCTTGCCTCCCAACCCTGTCTCCCCACGGTCATGACGGTGGCCACCATTCTCTCTGGGTCAGGCACTGGGCTGGGAGCTGAAGTTATTTATTGGTGTAACCACCCCAAAGGGAACATAATATTCCCATTTTACAGATGAACAAATTGAGGCTCACAGCCGGCAGGTCAAGTGAGAGTTTACCAAAATCAAACTCTTTGCGCTCAAATCAAATGCTGGCACTGACACCAGCCCGGGGTTGTGGACCTGAGCCTCAGTTTCCTCGGCTGTCACATAGGGGACAAGAAAGTACCTAACTCCATGGGATTGTGGAGAGGATGGGTTCCACAGCGTGAACTCGGAGCCAGCGTACCTAGGCTTCAATTCTGTGAAATCCTCCGTGTGACCTTGAAGTTACTCACCCTCTGTATGCATTTCCTCACTGCAAAGTGGTTTGAGAAAACCCCTAGAAATGAGGAAACTAATGGCGTACAGAGCAGAGGGGACGGGGAGAAAATGAATGGGCTCATTCCTGTAGAGCAGGGGTCCTCAAACTTTTTAAACAGGGGCCAATTCACTGCCCCTCAGACCGTTGGAGGGCCGGACTATAGTTTTAAAAAAAACTATGAACAAATTCCTATGCACACTGCACATCTTATTTTGAAGTAAAAAAACAAAACGGGAACAAATACGATATTTGTATTTGCATGTGGCCCGCGGGCCGCAGTTTGAGGACCCCTGCTGTAGAGCATTTAGACCACCACCGGGCGCATCGAAACCGCTCGGAATGTTCGAGCCGCGGGTCAGACCCAGGGTGACAGCCTGCCTGTTTCCCAGAGGGCCCAGGGACAGGGGAGCCCAACCAAGCACATGTGTGGGTGCCAGGGGGTCCCCACCACCTTGCCTTCCATGCCACTGTGTCCCCAGGATGTGTGACGCTGGGGAAGGGCTGTATACCTTCCAGACGCAGGAAGGGGAACAGATTTACCAGCGGGTCCACAGTGCCACCCTGGCCATCGCCGAGCAGCACAAGCGGGTCCTGCTGGAAATGGAGAAGAATGTGAGGGTGAGGCAGTGGGCGTCTCGGCCCAGGGTAGGGGGAAGGCTGGTGGGCGGGCAGGCCGAGCACCTGGAGTGTGCCAGGGGGGTCTCCTCTTAGCGTGCCCACAGGAGAGGCAGGCAGGGTCTTGGGCTGGCTGCTTGAGGGCCAGCCACTGCCCCCAGGGCTAATGGGAGGGACCCCCTTTTCTGGCCCACAGCTGCTGAACAAGGGCACGGAACATTACTCCTACCCCTGCACGCCCACGACCATGCTGCCCCGCAGTGCCTACTGGCACCACATCACGGGCTCCCAGAACATCACCGAGGCCTCCAGCTATGGCGGTGAGTCCCTGCAGCGCCCCTCGGCCACCTGCCGCGAGCCTCCGTGGGAGACGAGGCCTTCTGGGCAGGGACCTTCCCACCTGGACCCGAGTCCTGAGCCTGCCTCTGTGTCCACAGGTGAGGGGCACGGGGCAGCCCAGGCCAGCTCGGAAACGGACCTCCTGGACAGATTCATCCTGCTAAAGCCAAAGCCCAGCCAGGGGGACAGCAGCGAGGCCAGGACCCCCGCCCAGTGACAGCCGGGCTGGCGTGCACCCATGACTGCGGGGCTGCCCGCTGCGCACTGACAGCCTCAGGGGGCTACTGGCCAAGCGCCTGGGGAAAGGGAGCCGCTCTCCCTTCCTTGCCCCCACGGGGGAGGCTGGACCAAGGCAGAGGGCTGGCCACACTGCCTGAGCATGTGCGAGGGGCTGGAGCTACCGTGGGACTATTTACTGTTCATGATTTTAATATATACGGCTTATGACATATCCTGTATTAACGAGATTCCCCGTCCCTCCCTGCCACCACATACAGTTTTGAATCCCATGACCAGGCCACCAAGGCTGGTTCTGAATGTCCTCCGTGGCACAGCCCTCCCGCTGCCAGGACTCGCCTGAGCTGCCAGGGCCGGAGGCAGACAATCAGAACTCAAGGCCGGTGCTGCCAGGGCTTCTCCCAGGAGCCAAGGGCTAAGACAGCAAGTGGCTTCTCAGTTCCTCTGGGCCCGGTGGCACAGGAAGGATCCGAACTCATGCGGTGCCACCTGCTGACATCTGGTTGACACCTCAGGTGAAACGCTGGTTTGAAAAAGAAAACTTCTGCCCAGGCTCCTCCCTGCTTTGTTGGCTGAGAAGATCCCTGTGGGCAGGAGTGCTGGTGACCTCAGCCCGGGGAGGCGGCCAGGCCAAGAGGGAGGGCCCGCAGGACTGCAGTGGGGAGCTGCCCTGCGGCCCCCCCTCACTGACCTGGGCCGGCAGTGCCGCTGCGGAGAGAGGAGGCCCCTCTCTGGTCTGGCCGCCCTCTGGCCAGAAAGGACTCAGAAACCAGCCCTTCCACTTCCTCCCCACATGGTGCTGAGGCTCCCTGCTGAGATGCAATTAAAGCAATTGACTTTCTAGTGCTGGTATGTATTGACTGCTGGGCAGAAGGGCTATCTTTCTATCCACATCAAACCTTCGGTTATGTGTGTTGTGTTTTTTTTAAATACTTAGGGTTCTGATTTGTGGGAACAGACCTTGTTACCCTGATGTAAATAACCACTGTTCAAGTCGTGGCAGGAGGCCCCTCCAGCAGAGCCCTGGAGCCAAGGGGGTGGCCACAGCCAGCTCAGCTCTGAACGGAGCAGGGAGCGACCACCAGAGGCACAGGCCTGCAGGAGAGCCCGCTGAGGCCTTGGAGGGGGGAGCTGCTGGCTCAGCGAGCAGCACGATGACGCATGAAGGAGATTATGTTGTGCTCTTTATTGCCAAAAATAAAAACTCCACTGTTAATAAATATCCCTTCCTCTCTGCACTGTATCTCCGGTTTTCTCCCATGCCTCCCGCCAGGCTGCCTAATTAACTGCTTTGCGTATGTTCCTCCCAACAGGACTAAGGGGTCAAGGCCAGACCTTCATTAAGGCCCTTTCCCACCCCACCCTCTCCCCTCCCCTCCCCACCCCAGGCTAATTAAGCAGATCATTGGCAGTGAAGTCATAACTGATGGGGAGAGAATGAAATACAGGGTTTATTTAGGGTGGGGTGGGGAGGTGCAGCCAGGGTCTAAAGACACTTGGGAATTTGAGCGAAGTGTAGGCTGACCATGGGCAGGCAGGGGCTGGGTTTGTAGGCGGCCTGGATGAGACTTCGAACACTCAATCCTAACAGCGGAAACCTAAGGTACAACTGGGAAATGCTAACTTTCACACAGAAAGTAAGCCAAGAGCTGAAATGACCAAAGGAGGAGGGTCTAGCGCAGTGGTTTTCAGCAGGGAAGCAGTACCACCTCTACAAGCAGACCAGGGGGCTTGCCAAGGAGGTAAGTACAGCTGCCGGGACTTCAGGGGCGAGGAGGGTCTCAGGAGACCTGCACACAGCTGCTGCTCGGATCCTTTTCCGCTCAGGCGGATGAGCTGCGGCTAATTTATGGTGAGGACGTCACTCTGGATCTCGTGGCTCAGCTGGGTCTGCAAGTCACTCAGCTTCTTCTTCAACCCAGAGAGGGCTGAGAGGACGATGGTTTCTGGGCGCAGAGAGCCACAGGACTCCACGTTGTAGTAAAACCTGAGAGGCGCGAGTCCAGTGAGAGCCGCCCAAGGGGCCGGTAGCCTTTCCCTCCTGAGTCTTGCTTAACTCCTTTCCCACCAGGAACTCAACCTTGCCCCGAGGTTGACCTCCATCCTCTTACAAACAGTGCTTTTTACAGGATCTCAAAGAGGCTACAGTCACCTCACAAAGATGCTGTGAAACCCCCCAAGCACCTCTGTATGGACGTCCCGCACTGAGAAGAAAGTGGAAAATGAACGAGCGGGTTGCCCGGGCCAGGTCTCTGTTCCTTACTGGAAGGCTGGTCAGTTTCTGGCCCTGATCTGACCCCATCTTTGGATGCTGCAAACCAGAACAGGAAGCGCTTGGATAACTGGAGGCCCCTCTTTTTCAGTGACTACAGGGGGACGCACCCATCTTGGGCTCAGCAGTCTTCAGCTGGGACATGAGGGAAGGGGTCACCCGCGCTCAGAGCCTGCACCAAACTGTACCTTCCTACACACCTCACCGTCCGTCTGGCCCAGGCGCTTACCTCTCCGGCTTGCCGTTGGGGTCGTACGGAGCCTGGGACTCATCTTCATCCAGCTCTGAGTACTCGCTCTTTGGCCTGAGATCAAACACAGGTCAGCACCCGGTTTTACTGCTACTTCCGGGCACCTGTGCCCATAGTCTGCCCATCTGGGTCACTAGGAGCCATGTCCACCCTACCCCACCCCCTCTAACCGCCCACCTTCATCCCCAGCGGGAACCTACCACTCCTCCGGCTTGGGGTACACTGTGTGCCTCAGGGCATTGTCGGGGTCATATTCAAAAGCCACCCCTGCAGTCGGGTTCCACTTGGCGTGTTCCTTGCCAAAGCCCTTCTTGGCGTAGGCGCGGAGCCTCAGCTCCTGGCCCTTCCGCAGCTTGACGATGAGGATGTCTGTGGAGAGAGGTGGGAGTCGGTGCGGGGGCCACAGAGGCACGGTCCCCCCACATCGATCTGGAGCGCCCCTGAGGGCCACACACATCTGGAAAAACAGGCCAAAGGCCAGCTGAGGTGACCAGGCAGCGCGAGGCTGTCTGGTCTCTGCCAACCAACAGGTCGGGTAGCCATCTGCACACTCACGCCAGCCCCTTACCGTCCTGGTCCACGTAGTCATTGGGGTCATTATCTCGGTTCCGGGATGTCACCTGCCGGAGCCCAAACAGAGACATTTATTAGCCGCTCGTCTCCCAGTCTCTTCTGGCAAGTACCTCCCAGCACGTCCAGATCGCAACCTGCCAACCAGGGGCAGGATGTCCAGGAGTGCCTACTAGGACCAATCTGTGCTGGTGCCTGTACTCCAACCCCTGCTTCACGGCTTTGTGACAGTCCTCTGTCAAAACAGTACCGTGCCCTTTTTTAAATTTATTTTAAAACTGATCTGAGAGGAAGGGAGAGAGAGAATCATTGACTGGCTGCCTCCTGCATGCCCCCTACTGGGGATCGAACCCGGCCATGTGCCCTTGACTGGAATCGAACCCAGGACCCTTCAGTCCACAGGCCGACACTCTATCCACTGAGCCAAACCAGCTAAGGCTATACCGTGGCCTTTTAAAGGGGCCTGGGCGACAGAGGGCACACAGCACCAACCATGTCCGCCCACCCCAGGAGCCCATAATGAGCATGTCCAGGCATCAGGGGTAACCCAGGGCAAGGTGGTGCCTTAGGCGAACCCCCCCACCCCAGTCCGGCCCATGCAGAGGCAGAAGGAGAAGAGCAAAGGGCCTGGGCAGGGCTGTCCTCTGACACTGACGGGAATGACCCGGGGGCTGTTGGAGATGAGATCTCGAGACGTGACGTGACGAGTCTGGTCTTCATTGCACCGCACGTCGAGAGTGAACTCCACCGAGCACTCGGGGCAGAACTCCTCGCACGTGCAGTCCTGAGGCAGGGAGAGAGCAGGCGTGAGTGTGGGGAGGGCGGATCCTGAGCTCCCTGCTTGCCATCCCCAGTTCCTACTGTTTCTTCATCTAAAAAAGGGCTGACCAGTCTCCAGACCCTTGGGAGCTGTCAATCTGGTAACCTTCTCCACTACAGGCACTTCCCAGGTTAGAGACAACCGTGTGTGCCGAATGTTCCTTCCACACCCGTCAGCTGCCGGGCTGCCTCTGGGACACGCACTGTTCACAGCTCAGCCTGGCCCTGAGCGTGTCCTTCCCAGAGAACAGCAGCGATCCTCTAGCTCGGCCTCCATGGCCTAGGTGGACTAGCTCGGGAATAGAGTCATTTAAAATAAAGGGAACTAGGAAGAAGTACCTTTCAAATTCTAGGCTACTGACCTTTTCTTAAAACAAAACAAAAAAACTTTACATATATATATAAAGTTTTATATATATACATATATATGTGCATACATACACACACATATATACACATACATGTGTAAAATAAAGCAAATGTAGCAAAATATTAACAATTAGCAACAAAGGTCAAAAGTAGATGGAAATTTTTTTTTTAATGTATTTTTATTGATTTCAGAGAGGAAGGGAGAGGGAGAGCGAGATAGAAACATCAATGATGAGAGAGAGAATCACCGATCAGCTGCCTCCCGCACACCCCCCACTGGGGATCGAGCCCAAAACCAGGCACATGCCCTGACCGGGAATCAAACCGGTGACCTCCCGGTTCCTGGGTCGACGCTCGAGACAAAGAAACATGTCACAAATGAAAGAAATGGGAGAAAGCAAACTACTGGATATAGAGTTCAAAACAACAGTTATAAGGTTACTCAAGAATCTTCTAGAAACAAAAAAAAAAAAAAAAAAAAAAAAAGGACCATTCCATCTTTCAGTAAATATAACACTAGAGAAAATTTAATAGCCCAGCCCAGTGATGGCAAACCTATGACACGCGTGTCAGAGGTGACATGCAAACTCATTTTTTTGGTTTATTTTTCTTTGTTAAATGGCATTTAAATATATAAAATAAATATCAAAAATATGTCTTTGTTTTACTATGGTTGCAAATTTCAAAAAATTTCTCTATGTGACACGGCACCAGAGTTAAGTTAGGGTTTTTCAAAATGCTGACACGCTGAGCTCAAAAGGTTCGCCATCACTGGCCCAGCCGGTGTGGCTCAGTTGGTGAGCATCGATCCATGAACCAGGTCATAGTTCGATTCCCACTCAGGGCACGTGCCTGGGTTGTGGGCTTGATCCCCAGTAGGGGGTGTGCAGGAGGCAGCCGATCAATGATTCTGATCGTTTCAATCTCTCTTCCTCTCTGAAATAGATAAAAATATATTAACAAACTAATGGAAGGCATGGCTAGGCCATAGGGCATGCCTATCTTTATATGAGATACTGCCAAATGCCTCTTCAGCTGACACGCTGCACACCTGTCCCAGCAATATCTGATATTTTATTTCTTAAAAACAAAAATCTGAAGATGTGAAGCAAATATGGCAAAATGTTAAAAATGTGACAAAATGAGAGCATAGTATCTGTTATATTAACTGCACATTTTGCCTGAATATTTCTTTAAAGAATTTTATATACATATATACCTTTGTATTCATAGGACATATCAAATTAGCCACCACAAAAATGACATGCCCTTGGGAATCAGCAGATGGGCCCAAAGCCACCAAAAGGGAATAGTCTCAAGCTATTACCTAACGCAGTCCTGGTGGAGGGATGCAGGTAACCCTATCCTGTCCCGTTCTCTCGCTGGAGGAAGGGAGCCAAGTTTACTAGCATCACCTACTGGGTGAGTCACAAATCTGGCAGCCACCAGCACTCCGGTCTCTGGGTGCTGCTCTGTGGACAGGTCTCACTCCCTCTCCTGTCCTCCATGCTCCCCAACCTTCTGCTGACTCCCTTTAACCTCCTAGGCCCCCGTCACTGGGAAGAGATGTCCTGGAAAGCAGAACCAGAACCGATCAGACTGAAAGGGACCAGCCCCCGCTTGTATACATGGGCATTCTAGTGTATCCCCGCTCTTGTGTGACTGATGCCCTGTGAGTCTAATCAACCTGAGGCCCATCAGAACCAAGGACCAAGGCCTGCCGTGGGCTCTAGACAACATCTCCATATTGTCTTTCTAAAAGCTAGAAGCAAGATGTCAGAAAAATCCTTCTGAGAACGGAAGGCCCCCGCCTCCCTGGCCACCCAATCCCCCAGCATACCCGGGAGTACTGCAGCTTGTCCACAATGTCATCGCTGGTGAGGGGGATTAACCCTGGAAGACACAGAGAAGCACTCTGAAGGCCAAGCAGCCAAGCCAAAAGGAGAACCTAGCAGTCCCCTTGGCAGCGAGGAGGCTTCCTCTCTGACACCTGACACAGCCCCCACCCTTTCACCATCCCAAAGGGCACTCACCAAGCCTGTGAGCGATGAACTCGTCGTGAAGGACTGAGGAATTGGCGTCAATCTGAACCCAGTCAATGGCTAAAACGTGAAGGAAGCAGACACGCAGCTTAGCCTCCAAACTCACCTCAAGACTTACCAGCATAGCCGTGGTTCTCAAGATGTAGGAACCACCTGAGGCATGTACGGAGCAGAGCCTGGGCCAGGCCGCCAGACCGATTCACACAGCTCAGGGACAGGGTCCAGGAACCTGCATTTTAACCAGAACCACCAAAACGCCACACACCACACCCCCCTTCCCTGCCCAGGAGGGGTTAATGCCGGGTCCCTGTACCACAGAGAAAAACAACGACCTAACGAACAGTACAGGAGTGGGAACATGTTTCTTTGAGCTGAATATTCCTGTGAGAAGCACGTATGTCTGCTACTCATGCCAACATGAACTCCAAGAACACAAACTATTTGGGTACTTAAATCCTAGGGAAAGCCTCCGAGGTAACACTGTAACACAGACATCTAGCCCATATCTCATTTTAGGGAATACTGACCAGATTACCCTTTATTAATACTACTAGGGGCTCGGTGCACAAATTCGTGCATGGGTGGGGTCCCTCAGGGCAATGGGTACCACGAGAGGTTGGCCAGCTGTGGGAGCGCACTGACCAGGAGGGGGCAGCTCCTGTGTTGAGCATCTGCCCCCTGGTGGTCAGTGTGTTGTCAAAGCGACTGGTCGACCAGTCACTTAGGCTTTTTTTAAAAATATATTTTATTGAGTTTTTACAGAGAGGAAAGGAGAGAGACAGAGAGCCAGAAACATCAATGAGAGAGAAACATCAACCAGCTGCCTCCTGCACACTCCCCACTAGGGATGTGCCCGCAACCAAGGCACACGCCCCTGACCGGAATCGAACCCAGGACCCCTCAGTCCGCAGGCCGACGCTCTATCCACTGAGCCAAACCGGTCTCGGCTAGGCTTTTATATATATAGATAGATATTACTACTCAATCAACCAATGTTGACGGAATTCCTTCAATGGGCAAGGCATACTCAGTATAAAACCCAGTCCCCACCAGCAATGAGCTAGCAGGAGAGGAAGGACTGTATGCTCACACACATTTGATTGACTTAAGCACATTCACTCATTCATTCACATCTGCATGTAAACAAATTTGTAGAGCAAATGGCATTGGAACCCACCTGTCAAATAAGAGGTATAAACAACTGGAAATGGAGGTCGGAGGAGGCCCAGACACAGCCAGGCCCCACCTGCTTTGTTCCACGCTTCCTACTGCTTCCTTCCCTCACCCCAGGTCAAACAAGGACAAGCCAACCTTTCCTGTCTCTGCCCCTGTACACCACACCTCCCTCTGCCATGCCCTTGCCCTCTCCAGTGAAGGTTAAAATCCTCTGAGCCGCCATGATACAGACATGATCACTCCCTCCTGTAGGGAGCGGCTATGGGGTCAAGCCTCGGACTGACCTGTGGCAGAGCCACATACAAGTCCCAGCTTGGAGGGCAGAGCCCTCCTGGCACAATTAAACTTGACCTCATAGTCCTCCCTTGTTCCTAGGTAGCTAATGGGCTGTGGGAGGTGCAGCAAGTGCTGCCAAAACAAGGCTTGAGGGACAAAATAGATTTGAAAGTCCTGCAAACATGTTGACCACTCCCTTGCTTTGCTTTGTGTGATCTGACTATAAAATAAAGCTTCGGCTTACAGGCTGGGTCACTGTTTCCTCATCCAGGCACAGTGATCCTACCTGGCCCCAACTGTATTTTGTCTGCTTCTTTAATCCTCACCGCCCGTCCTCAGTTCACCCCTGGCCATGCTGGAAGTGGTTCACCCTCCCTGTAAGCTCCTCCCTAAAATTCTGCCCAGATTTCTCTTAAGGCCCTTGTCATACTGTGCCTTGTGTGTATTTATGCGTGTCTTATCTCTACCTCACGCTCTGAAAATCCCTTAGGGCAGGGTCTTTAGATACCTTAACTTTTGTAATTCCTAGCTCTAGCCTGGAACACAGCAGGTTCTCACTTATTTGCGGAACTGAATTTGTGGGAAAAGTGGCATTTAGATTTGGAACGTCAGGGCTGCACCATACAGTGCAACTCCCTCATTTTACTCCTGATGAAACCGGGGCCCAGAGACATGAGTGATTAGGCAGAGGACCAGCATACCAAGCTCTGAGTTGAGGTGGGGCGGGGGGAATGGTGGGGAGGATCAACTACCACGTCCTCCCATTTACCCAGTTGGCCTGCTTATTTCCTTAGGAGCAGGCACACCTGATGCAGCAGCTGTCTTCCATTTCCTTTTCCTAAACTCTCTAAGCTGACACTCAGAAAATATTGGTAGTATGTGTGCAAATTTGCAAGATACCTAGAGCATTGTGGCTGGAACCAGAGCAAAAACAGATCCTCCCTCCTCTAAGCCAACAGCACTGGGGCTCGGCTTCTCCCAGTACTGGTCCAAGGCTACCCTGCATTCATGTTGCCTGTGGGCTCATCTTTCCCCTGCACCTTCACTGTGGGCTCTATGAAGGCTAGAACCCTGCACTAATACAGCTAGCTCCGCATTCCCAGTGCCCAGCCACTGCCTGGCACTTATAGGTTCCATAAATGCAGCTGAAGAAACAGATTCCGAAAAAGACACCTAGCAGCCCTGGTCAGCGTGGCTCTGTGGTTAGGGCGCCGGCCTGTGCACTGGAGGGTCTCAGGTTCGATTCCGGGTCAAGGGCACATACCTGGGTTGCAGTTTCAATCCCTGGCCCTGGTTGGGCTGCGTGCGGGAGGCAACCAATCGCTGTTTCTCTCTCTCTCCACCCTCCCTTCCACTCTCTCTAAAAATCACTGGAAAAAATATCCTCGGGTGAGGATTAACAACAACAAAAAAGACATCTAGCAGCACTGAACACTCCCCAAACGTTAGGCACTGAATAGCGATGGCCTTCCTTCATCCCTGCCATGGCAGGTACTAATAGCGTCCCACCGTTACGGAGAAATGGACCGCCCAGTTTCAAAACATGCCCCGTTTTACACACGCGGTAAATGAACACAGTATTCGAACCCCAGTTCGCAGACTCCGGCACCCACGCTCCTCACCAATGCAAACTGCGCGTGGACCCGAGTGTAAGTGGCCCCTGGGGGCCAGGGAGGTGGCCAGAGGCAAGGGCTCAGGGTCCGATCCAGCCTCCAGCATCGCTGCTTTCTCAGCGACACTCCCTCCCCTCCTCCCCGCGCCTCCCCCAAACCAGGGCTGCAGGCAGAAGCCCCAGGGCGTGTGGTCGGGGGACCGAAGGGTGGGGGTGACTCTGGGAAGCGGGGGTCGCTTACCTATTATGGGCACCTCGCCGATGAAGACCCTCCGGAGAGAATTGGCCACCGCTAGGTCCGTATTCTCGACGATGAACTTGACGTTCTCGTCGGTGAGCTCCGTGATCCGCACGGTGGGCTGGTTGGCGTACGGCATCGCGCTCCGCCGCCCGGCGGGCCGCCGGCGTCAACCCTGCAGCGCCCCCGCACCGGAAGTCACAGGAAGGTACCGGAAGTCGGTCAGCGCGGCCCCCACCGCTTCCTCGGAGACGCGCCCACAGCACCGCCTACTGCTCGGAGGCCGGGACTGCTCCGGGCTCGTGGTTTCTATCCCGCCACCTGGTTCCAATGCACCAGTTGGTGATTTGCCAAATCTAGGATGATTTGGCAAAGCACGCATACACCCTTGACTGAACAATAACGCTTCCAGGAATTCATACTGCAGAAATGCTTAAAGTTTTAAGCAAAGATACATTTACAGGGATGATCACTGCAGCAGTTTGTAACATCAAAAAAGAAAAGTAATTGTCCATTGAGGGGCCTGGTGAAATATACACACACAGGAATACTATGTCTTTTAAAAGAATGAAGTTGGTACATTTATGGAAAAACAAAAGTGTACTTTAACCAACTATACTTGAATGGTAGGTATATACCCTTTCCCTTCCCACCCGCAGCCTGAGCTGGCCAATACAAGAGTTAACCAGACTTGCAAAAGGAGCCCAGCCAGTGGAGGCCAGGAAAATTATTAAAGCTGAACTGGATCACTGAAATGGTTAGCAATAGACAAGCGCAGCCACAGGAGCTAACGGTGAGAGGAAAGGCCCCTGTCGCGCCCATTTTACTGATGGGAAGCCTGGGCCCAGAGATGCAGAGCTGTCATACTGTTAGGCAGCACCAGGCCCAGAACTCAGCCTCAAACCCTTCCCACACACTGCTGTCTCTCTCTGGGCTCTTGGATACCTGCCACGGTCTGGATGGAAACTAACTACACAACAGTAGATGGATTCAAACATATTTATTATTATTTTTACAGAGTCTAAGTTCACTAATAAGCCTGCACGCACCTGGCCTGAGATCACACCCCGGGCCGGGCTGTGAACCACTGTCCAGCAGGCACCTGTGTCATGTGGCAGCTTTCTGGGGAGGGGGGTCCCAGCTGCAGTATCGCAGGCTGCTGGAGAGGAAAAAGGCCGCAAGGGACACTGCTGGGTGCACGTGCCTGTGCTGTGTTGTGCTGTGGATCAGCTGCCACAGGGGTAGCTTGAGACCCTGACTCTGACCTGGGAGTCCCAGAGAGCATTCTGGGAAGGTTAAGATGTGACCAAGGTGCCTGTGAGACAGGCCGTGCTGGTTTCTGTGGCTTGAACGCTGGATGAGAGCCTCAGTTGTCAATCACACAACTACAAAAAGACATCAGGAAGCTGGGCTTGGTACTAGGAACTGAGGAAGTGGCCCACTCCCGGGCTACAACTGTATCATCAAGTGCCCTGTGGCTTCCAGGTGGCTGTGGTGGTGACTCAGTGTCCTGTCCTGTGCTGGCACGTCATACTGTTCAATGGCCTTTAAGTATATCCGCAGCTTTTCTTCTGGGCACGCTAGCTTATACCCCTTCTTGCTCACCGGCGCTGGTTCAGACCTGTCAGGTTCTTGAGCTGAGAAAGGGGTGGAAACAGAGAGAGTGCTAAGGCCTTGCCCCGCCCCAGGACTTCAATGGGAGAGGTCAGGATTTTCAAAGCAGCACATGTGGCTGTGATCTGATGTCCTGGGGTCCAGGGAGTCAGCCAGTAGAAAATAAAGAGGTGGGATACAGTAAGGCCTTGATTTATGAGTTTAATTCGTTCCGTGATAGAGCTCGTAACTCAAGTTACTCGTATGTCAAATCAAAAAGTGAATGAGTGAGTCACGTGATGCTGGGCTGATGTTGTGGCGTTCACTGTGATGTTCGCTGCGCCAACTAGCGGTGGGGTATCTGAAGCTGGCTGTAACCCGAATTTTAGCTCGCAACTCAAAGCAAAAAATCGGCTGAGAGACGGCTCGTATCTCGAAAAACTCGTTAGTCGGGACACTCGTAAGTCAAGGCCCCACTGTATTTGGAATGAAGAGAGTTGGACTGTACCGCTGCCAGTCTCATTACTTAAGCTTTCCAGCTTAAGGCTACAAAACTACTTGGGGTCAGGGATACATTAAATAAGCAGCACAGGGCCAGAGTGGGATGGGGGAGAGCAGGGATGAGCAGGGAAGTACCCACCGTCACTGCTGCACCCATGAGTCCTTGCACCAGTGCCTCTCCAGTGGACTTCACCTAGAAGGAGTCAGAGTCAGGTTCTCTTAGCCCCCACCACAAGCCAAGGTGAGACAGGTAGGACAAACCAGCAGGCCTACTGGTCCCAACAGGTGAGTCAAGAGGGCTGTGTACTGGAGGAAGAGCCTACAGACAACACAGCTGCAAATGGGCCAAGTGTGGCTCTTGGAGAGCCTGCTATGAGGAAGAACCAGCCCAGCTCCCAGGGAAGGCCCTCAGGACTGTCAGCTGAGGCCACAGGGGAGCTAGAGAAAGGCAGTCCCCAGCTGTGACCCGAGGAGGAGGGGGTGCCTGGTGAGGCGGCTTCCCGAATGGCTAGCCCCACTACCTGATTGGCAGTGTGGCCCATGTTCATTGCATCGTTAATCCGGTTTTCCAAGAAGCGCCAAGTGTCCTCGAAGTCGGGGGAGGAGTCCTGCATCATCACCAGCTCGGTTGTGTTGTAGATAGCAGCCAGCACAGCCCGGCGGGTGTACCAGTTGAACTGCAAAGAAAACCACCCAGGCAGATGGGTCACCGCTACTGCTGCGGGCGGGGCAATTGGGGGTGGTTTCTGCCCAAAGCCACAAGTACGCATGGGCTTCCTCCTGATTTCTTCTTTCCCTCACAGATACATATGGCTCTCTGGACAACACTATTGTTCCACCACATGGCTGTACATCAGGATGATCTGGGAAATTAAAGACGCAAGCTCCCAACCTGGCCGATGGCTCAGTTGGTTGGAGCGTCGTCCCATGCACTAAAAGGTTGTGGGTTCAATTCCCAGTCAGGCACATACCTAGGCTGTGGGTTCGATTCCTGGGTTGGGGAGCATACAGGAGGCAACTGATCCACGTTTCTTTCTCACATCCATGTCTCTCTCTCTCTCTAAAAATCAATAAACACATATCCTCAGATGAGAGTTTAAAAAAATGTTTTAAAAAAAGCAAGCCCCCGGGCCCAACCTCTTAGCGTTCAGTCAGGGGGACCGAAGTGCCAGGAGGCTGGAGTTTACTAAGCATGCAGGGGACTTTGCTACATCTGGTCCTTTTGGAACTGCAGGAGAAAAGACTAAGCCTTAGGACATCTAAGTGCGGGGAGGCTCTGTGGTCAGCCAGTTATGAGCAAACTGTAGTGTGTTCCACGGCAAGTGACGGCTGAGCATCACGGACCGATGAGAACAGCGAGGAAACGCTGAGAGGCAAGTCCTTTAGCGACGCCGACTGTTCGGGGAAACTGCTCTTCAGAGCACTGGCTCAGCTGCGTCGTGTTTTATTCCTTTAATTTCTTTGCTTTCTAATTTCATTTCGCTACCATCTCTGTTGCTGGTATATTCCCGCAGGGGAGAGTTTATTAAAGCACTATGTTAGAGCCGGGGGTTGGGGGGGGAGAGGGAGGGACATCTCTTTGCCTCCCCAGCCTGGATATTAATTTCTTTTTATAAAGGTATACATTTTAAAAACTTCCTTACAGAAATATAATAGCATTCACAAGTCACATTCTTTCCTGGTGCCTGTTTAAAGGCTTATTGATTTCTTAGCAAAGCAGGCCAAGATGGGCTGGGGGTGGGAGTTTCCTTTTAAAGCAATGGTGTCTCCATGGCATTAAAAAAAAAAATCAGTCTCATGAAAGTCACACTGAGAAATTCTGCTGCAGAATATAAATTTTAGGAGACGGGGGGCGAGGGGGGGAGCATTATAAATAGCAGCCCACTCACAAGGTTGGGAGGAAGCACCACTGGTTTGCAACTGGAGTATTGGTTCCTGTCATGGGGATGACCTAGATCCCACTGTGGCTGGTAGCAGGCCCTCCCTCACACCTCAGCCTCTCCTTACCAGGATGGGCATGGCACTGCAGGCCCCTGAAGGGATTTGTGATCAAAGGAATTTCACAAACTTGTTGAAGAAACGCTCAACCCAAGCTTTCCCGGCACCCTGCGGGCCTGCAGAAGCACTCACGTCAGTGGACTGGTCCCCAGCGTAATGCCACATGTCGTCCACCATGCTGGTGAGCAGGCTCAGGCTGGCCGGGATGTTGTGAGGGAGCATGAGGATGCTGAGGGCCTGCGGGGAGGACGGGGAAGGTACAGCTCACAGGGGACAACCGCGCCTGGGTGGCTGGTGCCTCCTCTCCACTGACCTACATGAGGGGCTTGCCCAGCTCGCCTCTGAGACCCACCTCCCACACCCCGGCGGCTAACCCTGGCCACAGTCGATGGGGCCCAGGGCCCATCCTCCCGTCCTGGCCCAATCAGATCCTCAATCCCCAGCACGTGGACTTGGGAATGCAGACAGCAGAGGGTCTGGCCTGTCTCTCTGAGCACTGAGAGTGAGGATGAGGAGGTCACATGGAGGAAGCAGCAGAGATAGGAAGGGAATCTGGGGGTGGTGTCTAGGTCCAAATTCTAGGTCACGTTCCTCCTCTTGTCCCACTGCAGCCTCAGTAAGTTCCTCCCCATGACTTTTTGCTCAACTCAAGTTGATATGTTATCTGAAACTAATCCGTCAACTAATACAAGCAATGGCACAACCCAGACTCCTCCACTAGCAGACACCACCTCCTGACCGTACAAAGTCTTGCCACTTTGTCAACTTAAGTCCTCAGCCGGGGCCTCTGGGGTTTGGACAGAGAGGTCCTAGATTGGCTGGGAAGTGTCCTCTCGGTGCAGGAGCCCAGGAGGAAACGTGCTGCACCAGCAGGCAGCCAGGCCTAACGCACTCGTTTTTATCCCTTGAACCGTGAGGCGGAACGAGTCGAGGCGCCGGGTCTGGCAGAAGGCAGGCTCCATTCGGCCGTGCTCCCTACACACCCGGCCGGGTGTTCACGTTGTCTGTCCACTGACTGACTGAAATGACGTGCTCAACAGAGTCCCAGCTGGATGGGGGCACCAGATGGCCCTGCGTTCCTCTGATGTGCTTCAACTTGACCTGCTTAACTGAGAGCAGGGCCC